TGGTGTACTATATCATTATATACTAAAAATGAAAAAAGATTTTTCTTGGCTTATATTAATTCCAGGTGCTTTTCATGAAGAAATAAATATGCTAAAAGCATTCGTCAAGTTAAATTGGAATATCAACATAAAAGATTTTGCTTAATGTCAAGGATATCGAACAGAAAATCAACTTCAGTTTTTTAAAAAGTGCTTTAATCATCATAAGTCATAGGATTCAGTATGTAACATATATAGACATACCATGGCCTTGGAGTTAATGTGGCTATATATCATTTCTGATAAAAATCCTTCTATAGAAGGTTATTTAAAATAGGCCCAAAATCAAACTGATTCTGTATTTAAATTGAAGTATGAGCAAATTTTTGTTTATTTGCAATCAATTTTTAACTTTCGCACTGGAGTTCGTTTTAATAGGCCTTCACTAAGACTTGTGGCTAAACAAATGTTTGCACCTATTTGGTTTGCTCAGTGTCATCCAATTTATCGATTAATTGAGATTTATAATAGAGAACAAATATTATGTTTAAGACCTGAGATTTATAACTTAATTCAAGAAAGAATTATAACCTCATAATCTAAACTTTTGAATCAATATCAAGGCCATAATGCAATACTTGAAAAGATTAATAAATCACTCAAGTCTTTAATTCCTCCAATACCTTCACTATGGTATTGGAAAATTGTGGCTCATAATTGTACAAAGTTTGTGAAGTTATGTACTAATCTTTTCAATTTAATAGGATATTCTGAAAATGAAGCCCATGAATCTCGAGTACATCTTAGTTATATTTCTGAATCATGTCGATTTCGAGCTCAGATAAGGAAATCTCAGTTTGTAAATCCAAATGTTGATAATCAGATTTTTCAAAATATAAGTGGAGAATGGATGCTAAGTGAAGAAATAAAATGATTTAGTGAAATTGCATATTCAAAAAGAATTGAGTTTATTGAAGCAAAACTAATTAAAAAAAATTTCATTAGGCATTTGGCATCCAGTACCTATAATATGTGAAGAGATGGATCTTTAAAAAACTGATAGTTCTTTAACAAGACCGCAAATTTTATCTATTATTAACTCTTTAATTCCTCTTTTAGATGATGCAGATCGATTACATTTTTAAGGTTTGTCAAATAAGTCTCGTGATAACTTAATGATTATTCTTCAAGAAATTAGAAATATATTAGCTGACAATGGTGTTAGTACCAATAATGAAGTGTAAAATGAGTAAAGTACTTTTTTATTGTATTTTCTAAATTTTTGAAAAAAAATTATAGAAAAAAAATTTTATTTTTTTGTATAGATTCAATATTGAACAATATAGTGTGGTATTGTTATTGTATAAGAATATAGAAAGCACAATAGAATTATGTATAATAATGCTGTAATAAACAATTGTAAATTCATATGTAAAAATATTTTAATAAAGATTATTTTTATAATAATTTAGTAATTGCAGAATGTATAACTTTATAAGTTTTATATTAAGTTAATTATTTCATAATTAATTTTAATTTTGGCTTTTGGAATCTTTTTAAGTCATGTAGAAAACTAGACACGCGCTTAAAGTAGTTGTGCATATACATAAAACTTAAAATATATATTATATATTAGTTGCGCATATACATAAAACTTAAAATTTATGTCAGTATTGCAGTATATACAATAGTATACAAAATTTTATTCAATTTTTTTATTTATTTTAGCCTGCATAACTAAAGATTGAATTTTACAAAACTTATCAATAACACAATTTTGTATAACTACAGAACTACTAAAAATAATATTTTGATGAAGAATAATACAAGAACCAACCAATGTGGTATCGAATGCCTATTCTAAATAACCAATTGCCTAATAATCATTATACTCTTCTACTCTAATCAATGTAAAGAATACCTTTTATGAAGAATGAAATAAGAACTGACCAATGTGGAATCGAATGCCTATTCTAAATAACCAATTGCCTAATAATCATTATACTCTTCTACTCTAATCAACGTAAAGAATACCTTTTATGAAGAATAAAATAAGAACCGACTAACGCAGAATCGAATACCTATTCTAAATAACCAATTGCCTAATAATCATTATACTCTTCTACTCTAATCAACATAAAGAATACCTCTTATGAAGAATGAAATAAGAACTGACCAATGCGGAATTGAATATCTATTCTAAATACCCAATTGCCTAATAATCATTATACTCCTCTACTCTAATTAACATAAAGAATACCTCTTATGAATGTTTAGTATTAACTAAGTTGACAAATAGCAACAATACAGTAACAGGAAAATAATGCTGTTAGTAAAAATTGTTGACAAGATCAGAAGACAACAAGAGTTATAAGAAAATGATTATCTGGGTACTTCGGTGCTTGCTTAAAATCAGGCCTAACAACACTAATCCAGTAATCTGTTCTGAATAATAATATTGACTACTGATCTAAAACTAGAAGGCTTAAGCTAATAAAGCCTTAGTTCTGTAGTAGGTTTGGTACTAGGTTTGCAATGGCAATGAAATACAGTATGATCTTGTAAATGCTGAATTGAACTTATATATAACAAGTAAATTTTTTGTATTAGTAATAATTAGACAGCAGGCAGCGTAATATTAGAACAACGATATATATACATACATACATATGTGCTCTTATTCCTGTATTTAGAAGTTATTACTTGTTTAACGTTAAAACTGCAGAACTGCAAAATGAATATAATATAAGCTCTTAATTTGATTGGTCAATTGTTGTAGTACATAGAACAATCTGGAATGAAGTCTAGAATAATCTGAATAATAATTATTGCTAAATAGGGTGCAATCGTTAATTACCAAATATGATAAAATCCCTGACTGTATATTTATAATTTTAAGTATTAAATCTAAATAAGCCCAAATATTAATTATAGCAGTACAATATTATATAATATATCTTCTCAAATCCAATATATATAGTAGATAGCTTTTGTATTAGTTTTGTAAAATTATCAGATTTAAAATATTAATAGTCTGCTATTATAAAATTACAAATAAATACTATATGTGCTGAGTGCTGGAAAAAGGACTGAAAATAACAAAATAAAAGATCTTCAGAAAATCAATTTTTGTGTTGTAAATCTTATAATTGATTATAAGAAAACACAAACTTTAAAGAACTATACTGCAAAATTTTATTAACACAACTACCTTTGTGTCTTAAGTAAAAAAAGATCCTAGCCTTATTCTAAATTAATTTATGTGAAAAAATCTATTTTGAAAAAATTGTCATTTTCGGTCCTTTTTCCAGCATCTAGCCTATATAATTAGCTAAATAATATTTTATATATATATAATTTGTTATACAAAACCCAATCTGAGTTAATCAAATTAATTTATATTACTTGTCAAAACTAATATTTTATAAATATATGTTCTTTTAAGTTATTAGTTATTGAAAAAGGCAGATTATCAGGTTTTAATTATACAATAAATATATATAGTAAATAAATTTTTTATTAGTTATAGCAAGTTATTAGTTTTGACAAAATCAAATTTAAAAAGGTATACTGTATTAAAAATTGCTATATTAAGTATAAAAATTTAGATTAAATTTAAAATTATTCTAATATAAAGATTTACAAAACTTTTTTATATTAAGAATAAATTTAGTATTATTAAGCAAATTGTATAAACTACTTATATATTAATAACTTACTACAACATTGTTTAACTTCTAACAAACTCTAAACCTCCTTTATACAAACTAAACAGCTATACAATCTAATCTTTAATCTTAACAGCTTTCAAATACATCTCTTCTTAAACAAACTCTCTATATTTTCTATATTCTTTTTCTTGATATTATACAAACTATACAAGAATTTATTACATCAAACCAAATAGCTAACTCAATTACAATACAACTTCTTTTTTATATCAATAAGCAACTTTATACAAATATTTGGATTCTCTATTGTAGTTTAAGACTCACACCTCAACTCCTATCTTCACAAGCAACCTTATTATCTAAATCTTTACACAACATATATTTCTATATAGCTTTTTCTAATAATACCAAACAAGTATTTATATTTAAAGTATTATTTTGATACTCTAACTGGATTAAATTTTGCATACACTCTTTACAAATACTTAATCTATCTAAAATCTAGATAAGCCTTGGCTATTTTGGTAGATTTAGACTGCAAATAAAATACTGGGTCTGTTTTAACCAAGCACTTAGTCAGTCTGAGTTTTTATTCTTAGTACTAAACTTAAAATATAAAACTTTTTTTAATTATATAAAAGTTTTTATTAAATTTAATAAAGATAAAAGCATGGTTTTATCTTTATTATTAAAAAAAAAAAAAGCAAATTGTATAAACTTTGTTTTTAGATATTTTGTACACTATTAAATTAAATATCTAAAGTATTAAATATTAATAATAAAAATTTTATATTTTAGCGCCTATGCATTATGACGCACCCTATAAGATCTGGTGTAATGTAAAATTAAAACAATAATCAATTCATTAGTTTAGAGTTAGAGTAAGAGTTAGATTAGGGTTAAAGTAGTATATTTTAACAAAAAAATTCTAATCCAAAATTTTGAGCAGAATTTTTTTTGTTAGAATACGAAAGGTAGTTTTATAGTCAAAATTTTGAGCTACAAGCGATTTTTTAAAAACATTGCTATTTTTTCAATTTTACATTACACCTGATCTTACAATCTGATTGGTTAATCAGATGGGTGCGTTACAGTGCAGATGTGCTAAATTATATAATCCTAATAATAATTTAAATTTTTTTTATTTACTAATATATTTTATAATACAGTCAACCCTCCATATAGTCACCTCCTATACAATCATAGCATATGTAATTATATTTTTATTTAAACAAAACTATGACTTAATTTATAAAAAAAAAACCTTATATAAGCACAACCTCTTTATAAGCATATTTTTAAAAAAATTTACTATATACCCAACTGTGTGATTGTATAGAAAGATAACTATACTATTTAAATAATTGATTTTATTTTATTGTATCTAGATATAGAATTTATAATTATTTTAAATTGTTTAAACAAGCTAATAAGCCTATACCTTGTAAAGTATAATATTTAAAAATTAAGTTTTATATAATTTTGCTTGGTATTATTTATTTATACATTATATAGTCAACTTTTTTTATAATAAACTGAATCATTATAAAATTTTAAAATTAAAATTGTTATATCTAAAGATTAGTATTAGAGAGATTTATTATATTTAGAGTTGATATATAATTAATAACTAAAGAATTTTATTTGATTTTAGATTTTGAATAACTAATTTATATAAACAAGATACTATAC